GGGCCTTCTCGGAGTCAAGATCTATGCAGAACCTTTCCAGTCCAAGTGCAGATGCTATTTCCAAGACTTCCTCATCGGGAACCCCCTGGAGAGTGCCGAGCAGGAGCCCACTCTGGGGGTGACCAAGGGGTGGGTCATGGCAGTGAGGGCTGAGAGAAAGGCTGCAACCTGCGTCCCAGCTGCAGAAGAGCTACAGCTCCTGCTGTCTGGGAATCCTGAAGCAGCCAAGGGTCCAACAGCGCCCCTCAATGGGGGACAAAAGGGGTGCAAAGTCCCTCCTTGGGGGAGCAGATGCTCAAGTCATCACCCACTCTGTTTCAGGAATTCGCTCCCTTGCTTTGGCATCGGAGTCTAGACAGTTGTTAGGCTGTTCCTTTAGTAAGACCAGTAGGAAAAGGACTATCCCTCAGCTTATTCATACTGTTCCTGGCCTTGTCAGCAGATGATGCTTAGCCCCCTGAAAGCAGGCAGTTCACGGCTCCGGGGACGGTCCCGCAGTATTGCAACCAGGAGCTGGATTCTCCCGTGTGTGTGAGAGAGTTTCTGCCTTTCCAGCAATCCTGACTAGAATGTAGATCTACTGTATACATCAGCCTTCCTAGCTGGGCTTCATTTCACTGCTTGGTTTTTCTATACCAAAGTAGAAAGAATTCTTGTTTGGTTTGTGCATTGCCTAAGCAGCCTTCCTCCCGCTCCTCCATGCCCAAGCTCCTTCCTTAGCCACCTGGTGCGGGGAGCCATTCAGCTGGTCAAGCAAACTTCTCTCCTCAGATTGCTGGAGCTCCAGGGTGATATTGATCAGTTGCTTCAGGTTGCTGTTAATTTGCACCCATGTAATTTAAGTTCCAAACACATCACTAACAGCTAGCCTCGACTACAGCTGGCCTCTGCCCCTCCGCATAGAGTCGCTCTCCAGCCAGAGAATGGGTATCACAGAACAAAAGGGTGGCTAGGAGGCAAAGAATTAACTAGTTAAAATGAATACGCCAAATTCATCCCTTGTGCAAAACTCCATTGACCTGGTGGAGTTCTAACAAGGATGGTGTTGGCTCAATCTCCCTTTGGGGAAAGGGTGTCTGTCTGTCTCAGGAGTCACTGCGTAACACTTCTCTGAAGCCCACCCTGGGAAGTTCCTGAATCTTTAGAAGTTGAAGTTGTGCAGGAACCCTGATCTGGCTTGGCCACTGCAGAGGGTGTTACCATGCAGAGATCTGGGACAGGAACGTGATCAAACTAGCATCACCTGATCCTAAGGGGTGGATTGAGAAATGGCAACAGGGCACCCTTGCAAGGCAGGTTAGCTGGCAGCATGTGCTGGGAGCTGGTGTGATGTGTGGCTGGCTGGCTAAGGCAGTGGCAAAAGTTGCTCTCATCTTCAAGATGAGATAAATCAGAAAGCTAATGATCAAGTGGGAGTCTCTTCCTTTACGACCCATCATGTTCTGACCAACCTACTTTGTCTGTAGTGTTTGAAACGCCCATCCTTCCCTTTGCAGGCCTGAGCACTCTGGTAGAATATGTGTTATATCACACTTAATAAAAAGAAAAGGAGTACTTGTGGCACCTTAGAGACTAACCAATTTATTTGAGCATGAGCTTTCGTGAGCTACAGCTCACTTCATCGGATGCATACCGTGGAAACTGCAGCAGACTTTATATATACACAGAGAATATGAAACAATACCTCCTCCCACCTCCCTGTCCTGCTGGTAATAGCTTATCTAAAGTGATCATCAGGTGGGCCATTTCCAGCACAAATCCAGGTTTTCTCACCCTCCACCCCCCCCCACAAATTCACTCTCCTGCTGGTGATAGCCCATCCAAAGTGACAACTCTTTACACAATGTGCATGATAATCAAGTCGGGCTATTTCCTGCACAAATCCAGGTTTTCTCATATCCCCCCCACCCCCATACACACACAAACTCACTCTCCTGCTGGTAATAGCTTATCCAAACTGACCACTCTCCAAGTTTAAATCCAAGTTAAACCAGAACATCTGGGGGGGGGGGGGAAAAAACAAGAGGAAACAGGCTACCTTGCATAATGACTTAGCCACTCCCAGTCTCTATTTAAGCCTAAATTAATAGTATCCAATTTGCAAATGAATTCCAATTCAGCAGTTTCTCGCTGGAGTCTGGATTTGAAGTTTTTTTGTTTTAAGATACCGACCTTCATGTTTGTGATTGCGTGACCAGAGAGATTGAAGTGTTCTCCGACTGGTTTATGAATGTTATAATTCTTGACATCCACCAATGTGATATATGCCATCATGTGCCAGCAATGCCCCTCTGCCATGTACATTGGTCAAACTGGACAGTCTCTACGTAAAAGAATAAATGGACACAAATCAGATGTCAAGAATTATAACATTCATAAACCAGTCGGAGAACACTTCAATCTCTCTGGTCACACAATCACAGACATGAAGGTCACTATCTTAAAACAAAAAAACTTCAAATCCAGACTCCAGCGAGAAACTGCTGAATTGGAATTCATTTGCAAATTGGATACTATTAATTTAGGCTTAAATAGAGACTGGGAGTGGCTAAGTCATTATGCAAGGTAGCCTGTTTCCTCTTGTTTTTTCCTACCCCCCCCCCAGATGTTCTGGTTTAACTTGGATTTAAACTTGGAGAGTGGTCAGTTTGGATGAGCTATTACCAGCAGGAGAGTGAGTTTGTGTGTGTATGGGGGTGGGGGGGATGTGAGAAAACCTGGATCTATGCAGGAAATAGCCCGACTTGATTATGTAAAGAGTTGTCACTTTGGATGGGCTATCACCAGCAGGAGAGTGAATTTGTGTGGGGGGGTGGAGGGTGAGAAAACCTGGATTTGTGCTGGAAATGGCCCACCTGATGATCACTTTAGATAAGCTATTACCAGCAGGACAGTGGGGTGGGAGGAGGTATTGTTTCATATTCTCTGTGTATATATAAAGTCTGCTGCAGTTTCCACGGTATGCATCCGATGAAGTGAGCTGTAGCTCACGAAAGCTCATGCTCAAATAAATTGGTTAGTCTCTAAGGTGCCACAAGTACTCCTTTTCTTTTTGCGAATACAGACTAACACGGCTGTTACTCTGAAACCTGTCATCACACTTAATATATCCTCACCCTCAAGGGACTCTTTGAGTTAATGGTTGCATTTGTGGCTGGCCCAGTACAGTCACAGGTAGGTGACCAGATCGTAACAGTAAAATATCAGAATGGGGGGGGGGGGGGGAGTGATTTACTGTTCCCACTGCTGAAACAGGGAGCAGAGCTGTGAGATGCCCCTCCCCCAGCAGAAGCTGGGAATGGAGCTATGGGACTGAAGCAGAGCTTGGGGCTCCTCATGGCTCTGCTCCTGCTTTCAGTGGGCCCCTCAAAGTAAAGCCCCGGTGCCCCCCACAGGCCTGAAGCCAGGAACAGAGCTACAGGGCTTCTGAAGCCCCAAGCCCTGGCACACCCAATTAGGCTGAAACTGAGAGTGTTTTATGGGGCTGAAGCCCTGAGCCCCAGCGCTTCCCTCAGATCTAAAGCCCTGAGCTCTAGCGCTCCTGAGGATCAGAAGTCCAGAGCCCTGCCCCACCTCTGCCCTGACCCGCTCCCCATGGCTGCAGCCCTAATCCCCCCCAGTAGCTGAAGTCCGTAATGTCTTGTTCAGATTTATGGACATTTCAGAGTTATGGACAATCTCCGTTCCTAAGATGTCCATAACTCTGAGGTTCTACTGTACCAAGTTTTAAATTTTACCTGGATAACAGGAAAAATGGTGTCCTGATCGAGGACCCAGGACAAAGGGTTAAATATCAGGACAGTCCTGATTTTATCAGGACATCTGGTCACCCTAGTCGCAGTCTTAGTAGCTGAGTATAATCATCTTTGCAGCATTCTAGAGTGGTAATCACTTACAACCCAGTTACTGAGAGATGCTAACTTTCTTTGAAGTTCTCCTTCCCCCCCACCAAAGGAGGCTCTTATGAAAAGCCCTCTCCTATGCCTTGCTTTCAATTCGCTGTACAAACTGCGTTTGCCCTTCTGGCTCAGGTAGGTCATCAATTTAACTTCTGATATAAGGGCCACCAGGGAACTACTGCAAAAGGACAGCCTCTGTCTGATTAGCATTGCCAACTTTCTAATTACAGAAAACTGAACACCTTTGCCCTGCCCTGCCCTTTCCATGAGGCCCACCCCTTCTCTAAGGCCCCACCCCTACTCACTCTATCCCCCCTCCCTCCGTCACTCACTCTCTGTTGCCCTCCCCCACCCTTGTTCACTTGCTCATTTTCACCGGGCTGGGACAGGAGGTTGGGGTGCATGAGGGCTCTCTGGAGCAGGGCCAGGGATAAGGGGTTTGGGGTGCAGAAGGGGATTCCCTCTGGGCTGGGGGGTGGGGCCGAGGGGTTTGATGGGAAGGGGCTCTGGGCTGGAGCAGGGGGTTGGGGTGTGTGAGAGGGTGTGGGCCTAGGGTGGGGACAGGGATGAGGGTTTTGGGTGCAGGAGGAGGGTGAGAGCTACAGCTGGGGGTGCAGGCTCTGGCCTGGGGCATTCAGAGTGCGGAGGGGACTCAGGGCTGGGGCAGGGGGTTGGGGTGTGGGAGGGGATGTGAGTTGCGGGCCCTAGGAGGGAGTTTGGGTGCAGAAGGGGACTCAGGCTTGGGGCAGGGGGTTGGGGTGTGGAAGTGGGTTCGGGGTGATGGCTCCAGGCGGTGCTGACCTCAAGCAGTTCCTGGAAAGCAGCTGGCATGTCCTTTCATCTCCTAGGCAGAGGGATGTCCAGGGGGTCTGCGCACATCTCCTCCCCTGCAGATGCTGCCCCCACAGCTCTTATTCGCTGCAGTTCCCAGGGCAGCACTTGCAGGTGGGGGGACAGCATTTGGAGCCCCTGTGGCCACCCCTCCGCCTAGGAGCTGGAGAGACATGCCAGCCACTTCCCGGGAGCCAGGGACAGAGCCTGCCTTCCCCGCTGCGGCCAACCGGACTTTTAGTGGCCCTGTCAGCTGGATCTTTAACTCACTTCTTTGGTCCAAACACGTTCTGTGCTGGAGTTCCATATGATGGAGAGGTAAATACTGGCTCCTCCCCTGCACTGGTTTCCCATTCCTGCTGAGAGTAGAATTTGAGGAGGAAAAAAAGACTACAAATACATTGGTGTGTGGAAGGCAGCAATCTCTCCAGCTGCGTTGCTACAGTACCTTGCACAGTGGGGCCCAGACTGTGAGTGGGGCCTTTGGCCGTTGCTGCAATCCCCATGAAATTCTCCAGCTCTTGACTTTAGTGAGTTGGTAAATGGCCTCTGGGTCTCTAACTGTTAGCACTCTCTGAGGGTGTGGGGTAAATTTGGATTTAATACAAACGGAGGGGCTGAAGGGTGTAAATGTGAAGAGGAGACTTATTCCAGCATAAGTAGCTCTGCCCCTAAACCCAACACCTGAAAGGTAAGGGTTACACAGGGCAGACTTCTAGCAGCAATAGAAAAGGGCCTTGCCCTTCACTTACAGTGCGTGAAGGTGGAGAATACTGCATGCTAAGACAGCATGGTCTCACTCCAAGGCTTCCTTTATGCTTCAGAAGTAGCACAGAACTAAATCTACAATCCCCTTTTCACTGTCAATAAATTATTGAAGTTTCATTTGCAGCTGCTAAGTGCATCGTCACCAATTCTCTAGCTAGGCCTGAGACATATCCCCATTTCTAGGCTGCTCAGTGCCCAGCAGGGCTTTGCATAGCAGAGTGCCCATCTCTGCAATGCAGTGAGCAAAACTTGCTGTTGCTTATTACTACAGCCACATACATAGGGTGCCTTAGCCCCTGAAGTGGACACATGGGAAGGGATTAGGAGTCAGATCCTAATTGTGATCCTCGGCAGGTAGATAGAAATGAAGTAGCCTCTGATGGATTTGAAGCTGCCTGTAATCTATGAATACAATGTGCTGTATTTGTTTGTCTGAATATTGTAAAGGTGTTTATTCATACTGGATTAATTCAATAGCTGGTTGGTTGGGAAATATACGCATGAGGATAGACAATAGCCCAGGTACAATCTCCACAGCAACCACCCAGGACTATTCACTGGGATAGTCTAACTCTGTCCCCCTCATGGGCTCCATAAACTGGCTTAAGGCAGACACAAGACATGGCCTGTCCAATAAAGGGTCACACTCCCTAAACAGGGGAGACAGAGTTTGGAACGGAGATGAACCCAGACTGAAAGTGGGGTTCCTGGGGTTAAGACAGGCCTGCCTAAGCCTTCAGATGAGACAGATATACCTGTAGATTGTGTTATTGTGTTTAAAGCCCTTTGACTCTATGCTTTGTTTCTGCTGTTAAGAGTAAACAGTACTTTGTTTTAGAAAGGGTGTTTTGTGTTCTCCACTGGTCACTATTCCTAGTAGAAAGAATTGCAGGCACCATACCCAACCAGGCCTGCTGAGCAATCATGGTTGGTGCATGGGGTGGCACCTGAGACCCAGTCTGCACAGGGAAAATCACAAGATTATGTCCCAGGGCGTGAAGCCTCGAGGCCTAAGACCCGGAGGGGTGCACTCAGAGAGAGACCGCAGAATAGGCAGAGGTGCAGCTAGCCCTCAACCATGACACAGGGTGGGATGGTGACTGGTGAATTTCCAGTGAGCGACAACAGCAGTCCAGTTCCGCCAAGGCCACCACCTCACCTTACATGTGCATCTTCTCTAGGGGCCAGGCGCCCAATTAGTGGAGCCACGCCTGCACGGCTCCACTAATTAGAGAGGTGGCCCTTCGTTCTCTCGTGTGCCGCCACCCAGGTGCCTGAATGGAGCTCGCAGGCCACCACAGTTTGAGAACTTCTGAGCTGAAGCAAACTAAGATCACTTTCCTCCTGAATGAGAACGTCCCCGCAGGGTTAGCGACTCTAACATCATTCCTTTGGTAATTGGTTCAGTCACCTTCACTTGTCTGAGGGCCCCCTGTAGCTAGGACCTGGGCTGAGCTGCTTCCCCACAGGCCCAGCTGTCTGCCCAGGGCTGTGTTTGCTGTGGGATGCCCTGGGAGGGCTCCCCTAGCTCGAGTCACCGTGCTCCTAATGGCTGGGCTGGGCTGGGCTGGGCTGCACCGCGGGGGATAGCTCAGCACCCAGGCAAAGCAAGGGAGTCCATGGCTGGGGAAAGGGGGAGATGCAGGAAAATCCGGATCTGAAAACCCAGACCCTGGCCTGTCCTTAAACATTTTTGGGGGGTGGAGGAATGGTCTTGTGGGGTGCAGGGTCTGGAGCAGGAGCGGGAGGGCGCTGGGGGGCGCAGAGTCCCGGGGGGGGGGGGGCCCTGTGGGGTGCAGGGTCCCTGGCGGGAGCTGGGGTGGGGGTGGGGCTGTGGGGTCCCGCGCAGGAGCCGGGCGCGGGGCGCTACAATCCCGCCGGCTGCCGCACGGGGGCGCTGCGCCCAGCTGGCGGAGGGGCGGGGTCGGGCTGTGCGGGGCGGGGCCCGGCTGGTTCCGGAGGGCGGGGCCCCACGCGGAGCGGTGCGGAGCGCAGCGCAGCGGAGCGGAGCCGGGACAGCGCGCGGTGGCGGCAGCAGCGAGGCCCAGGTAAGCCCGGCCCGGGCCCCGCACCGCCCTTCAGGCCGCTGCTCCGGCGGGTCCTGGGCCCCTTTGCACGAGGTGGCGGGCAGCGCGCCGAGCCCGCCCCGGGCTAGTCCGGGGCTCGGCTTGGAGCTCGCCGCCTTTCCCCGGAGCTCGCCCCTCCGACTGGGCCGGGCGGGAGGCTGCTGGGTGCGGTGCATCTGTGGGGCGGCTCCTTCCTGATCCGGCCCGTGCCCCGGCTCTGCTGGGCCCAGGAGACCCCCGAGGTCCCTCTGGCCGCCCGCAGCCCTTGGGCCCGGCTCCCGTCCCTCTGCAAGGGCCGCTGGCGGGAGCAGTGCGGGCCCTGAGCCGCTGCAACCTTGCGGTGCCCTCCTCAGAGACCACTGCTCCGGGAGGGCAGGGGACCCGGGCTTGCTTGGGGGTGTCCCGCCCCCGCCAGAGGCTGCTCTCTGCCTGGAGTATGCGCTGCGCCTGGGGCTGTACACGCCGCCCGAGCAGGAGGAGACGGTCGCTGTGTGAGGCAGAAGCTTGTTCTTTCTGGATGTTCCCTTCTAGCTATTCACCACCTCAGCCGCGGGTCAGATGGCTTCGTGGGCAGGGGACTGTCAGACCTGCGGGTGCCTGAATCATGAGGAGCATGAAACCAAGTCCAGGGTCTCCCCCTTGCCCCCCTGTGTGATCTGCTGTCCTGGTGATTTTACTGTTGGCATTTCCCCATTTAAAACACACACATGGCAGTTTTCAAATGGGCTCTCCAGCAGGTTACTTCCTCCGGGGCACGGCCGGCTGTTCGGTGTGAGAACCACTGCAGGTGCTGTGTGTTGGCCTGTGACATCTCACATATCCCTAGCCTGTGTGCAGGGCGTATAGATAAGGACTGCTGTGTCCTGCACAAGCACTGTCTAGGCGTTGTCAGTTCCCAGAGCTGAAGGCACTGGCGGTGATATGAAATAACCATCAGCTAGAGGGGGTCATCTCATGCAAGCCTCAGGGCTACCAGCAGGCAGAGGGGCAGGAGTGTACTGGACAAAGCCAGTGGGTTTTTGAGTTTAGAAAAGCAACAGATTTTTCTCCCAAGCAATTAACATACTTGGGCACTGTTAATCCTGCTACCGTGCGTGAGGGTGCTGGGAAACCCTCGCCCCCAGCCTGGCTTTATATTTATGTAGCATTTTCAACTATAAGCGGATCTCCGTGATTCAGTTCAGCTGAAACAAGCCATGATCTCCTGACTTTGGTCCTATCCACTTCCCAACCCCCACCCTCCTCCTCCTCCTCCTGGTCAAGCTTCTCCCACCCCCTTTTCCTTATCCTGTGGGCCTAGAATGACTGGGAATGAGCTGCTGGTTTTGCGCTTGCAGGACTTTTGACAGTCATTATCTGTGAACAGACACTGTTCACCCTGCACGGATGGGTGGGGTGATGTGATGCCCTATGGTATGCTGGGTGCTCAGTGGGCATAAACATTAAATCACTTTTACATCAGTGGGTAAGGAGATTACAACATTCCAGCATTTAACCTCTTTCTTTGAGGGCACCAACAGCTACCTCGTGGCCCAGGGGAATTTGTTGCTTCTTGACTAACCTGATGTCTTGGGCAGTTGGAGTTGGTATCTCTAGGGCAGATAAAGACATCTGTTCTCGTGATGATTGCCCAGCCAGTTGCCTCCATCTGACTTCTACCACCACAAGTGTGTGGGATGGGGGATGATTATCTGTAGGGGATGGTTAAATGTGTTTGCACTATCACCAAACCTCTTTGCATAGATTACCCAGAGAAAAGTGGTATCTTGCCTAACAGAGTAGCATGCTATTGTGGACTGACCAGTCTCTCCCCAGTTAATGATTCCTCATAATTATCCTGTAACAGTCCGAAGGTCGTGACCTTAGGGTGACTTTAAAGAACAGGCTCATTCACTATTCCTAATTTTTACAATGGGTTCAGTAGAAACAGCTCCCCACAGATGATCTGAAAGACAGGTTTATGGCCTACCTGTACATTTACTGCAGTGCTTTTGTACCACAGTTCCAGGTGCCTTAGAAACACCATAGATCGTAAACATTTCACCAGAAGAACAGACTCCTGCTTGTTGTATGTGCGCATGTCCTTGACTAAAGCCAGCAGCATGGATGGGTATCATCAGATCCCCCTAGAGCACTCCTGGGTATCTACCTGGATAACTGGACAGACCAGTGAGCAGTGCTTGCATCTGTGTGAGAGTGGGAAGTTTTCTCTAGGGGGTGTGAGGGTCTCAGCGATCAATTTCTGCAAAATTTTTAACAATGTAGGTCTAATAGAGTTTCTAGACATAAAGTTACAAAGAAAAGCACCAAAACGTGACCAGTGCAGTGTTGTTTGTCTGAGTGCACCACTGCTGTGCCCATGCTCCGGCTTTTCCAAAGCAGCTACAGGTTAACAAAAGTGACAAGACTGGTCAGTTTCAGGCTGCTCTTCAGATCCTCAGCAGTGACACAACAGTCATGTCAATTTCATAATGCTTGGGAGGAAAACTTTTGCCAAGGCAGAGGCAGGCACCGATCTTACTCCTGGGAAGGATCCATAAAACAGGCTGACGGGCAGATTAGGGGAGGCAGTCCACTCTTGCAGCAGTCAGAAGGCTCTGGAGTAGGGAGACAGTCAGAAAGCTCCTTCCTTCTATCGGCATCTAGATGAGAGTGGTAGAGGCTGGTATGAAAAGCGGAGCCCTGCACAGAGTCCCCAGACAGCATCCTTGGCCTTTCCATGCTGGTTTGGCAGGGGCTGGGCTCTTCCCCAAGATGGGCTGCTCTTGGATTTTGCTGGTGGAACCCCCGTTCCCATGGAATTTGTATCTCCCTGGCTTGTGGTTTAGGGCTTGTACACACTAGCACTTACGTTGCTCCGGAGTGTGAATAAGACCCCGCCCCCCCAAGTGATGTAAGTTGCACCCTCCTAAGCCTCGGTATGGACAGCACTATGTCAGCGGGAGAGCATCTTTACCAGACGTGCTACAGCAGCACATCTGCATCAGCCCAGCTATATCTTCTAGTGCAGCCTAGCCCTCAGGCTCCTGGCTAGTAGGCACCAGGTAACATTTTCAGGCCCTGGCCATAGTCCCTTTGCCTCACGTGGATGGTATTGTGGATCCGCGGCCCTCCTGTCCTTGAGGCTTATGAGAGAGTCCATGATCTTCCCACACAGTATCCTTCCACAAGCATCTCAGGGTGCTGACACCCAACTTCTCAATGCTAAACTAGCTATTACCCCTGTTAGCGTATGTACCAAGTGACTCCATGATTCCCCACTCTCACAGTCCCAAATAAATGGATGATGCTCCATCAGAATACCTGACATTTATAACACTTCTATAGGGCCTCCTTCCCAAAGGGCTCTACTGTATCTTCCCTCTACAGAGATGCACATGATGGAGCTGGATTGCTCACTCCAAAGCATGTGGAAAACTAATCCCCAGCTGTCTCTGGGGTGGAACAACAGCCACACTCCGTACTGGCTTAGGAAAATGAATGAAGAGTGAATCATAGGACTGGAAGGGACCTCGAGAGGTCATCTAGTCCCATCCCGTGCACTTATGGCAGGACTAAATATTATTTAGACCAGGGGTGGGCAAACTATGGTCTGTGAGCTCCTGCTGGGGAGCGGGGTCTGGGGCTTGCCCTGCTCTGGCACTCCAGCCGGGGCACTGGGTTGGGGGCCGCACTATGTGGCTTGGCCCTCCTCCAGTGCTCCAGCGGGGGCGCTGGGTCAGGGGTCATACCATGGCCCCGCTCTAGTGAGATCCAGGGTCGGGGGCAACACCATGCAGGTCCCGGAAGCAGCCGCATGGCCCCAGTCTGGCTCCTATGGCCCCCTCCAGCATTCCAATAGGTAAGCTGCCAGGCAAATGCAAATGTGCCTGTGGATGGGGCAGCATGCAGAGCCACCTGGCTGCTCCTCTGCTTAGGAGCCAGAGAAGGGACATGCCACTGCTTCCGGGAGCCGCTTGAGGTAAGTGCCACTCGGAGCCTGCACCCCTGAGCCTCTCCCCACGCTCCAACCCCCTGCCCCAGCCCTGATACCCCTTCCATCCTCCGAACCCCTTGGTCCCAGCCCAGAGCACCCTCCTACACCCCAAACTATTCATCTCCAGCCTCACCCCAACCCCAATTTTGTGAGCATTCATGGTCTGCCGTACAATTTCTATTCCCAGATGTGGCCCTCAGGCCAAAAAGTTTGTCCACCCCGATCTAGACCAGGGTTCTCAAACTGGGGGGTGGGGACCCCTCATGGGGTTGTGAGGTTATTACATGGGGGATCGCGAGCTGTCAGTCTCCACTCCAAACCCTGCTTTGCCTCCAGCATTTATAATGGTGTTAAATATATTAAAAAGTGGTTTAAATTTATAAGGGGGGTTGCATTCAGAGACTTGCTATGTGAAAGGGGTCACCAGTTCAAAAGTTTGAGAACCACTGGTCTAGACCATCCCTGACAGGTGTTTGTCTAATCTGCTCTTAAAAATCTCCAATGATGGAGATTCCACAACCTCCCTAGGCAATTTATTCCAGTGCTTAACCACTCTGACAGTTAGGAAGTTTTTCCTAATGTCCAGCCTAGACCTCCCTTGCTGCAATTTAAGCCCATGGCTTCTTGTCCTGTCCTCGGAGGTTAAGGAGAACAATTTTTCTCCCTCCTCCTTGTAACAACCTTTTATGTACTTGAAAACTGTTTTATCATGTCTCCTCTCAGTCTTCTCTTCTCCAGACTAAATAAACCCATTTTTTTCAATCTTCCCTCATAGGTCATGTTTTCTAGACCTTTAATCATTTTTGTGGCTCTTCTCTGGACTTTCACCAATTTCATCTTTCCTGAAATGTGGCATTCAGAACTGGACACAATACTCCAGTTAAGGCCTAATCAGCGCAGAGTAGAGCGGAAGAATTACTACTCGTGTCTTGCTTACAACACTCCTGCTAATACATCCCAGAATGATGTTTGCTTTTTTTTTTTTTTTTTTTTTTTGCAACCGCGTTACACTGTTGGCTCATATTTAGCTTGTGATCCACTATAACCCCCAGGTCCCTTTTAAGGCAGTCATTTCCCATTTTGTATGTGTGCAACTGATTGTCCCTTCCTAAGTGGAGTACTTTGCATTTGTCCTTATTGAATTTCATCCTATTTACTTCAAACCATTTCTCCTGTTTATCCCTACGTACTTGTATTGTTTGTTTATTATATTCATCCTTTGTAATTTGGCCTAGTTTCTACTTTTTGTAGGACTCTCTTTTTGAGTTTCAGATAATTGAAGATCTCCTGGTTAAGCCAAGGTGGTCTCTTGCCATAGTTCCTATCATTCCTACGCAGTGGGATAGTTTGCTCTTGTGCCCTTAAAAATGTCTTTTTGAAAAACTGTCAACTCTCTTGAACTGTCTTTCCCCTTAGACTTGCTTCCCATGGGATCTTACCTACCAACTCCCTGTGTTTGCTAAAGTCTGCCTTCTGGACTTCCATTAGCTTTATTGTACTGTTTTCCCTCCTATTCCTTAGAATCATGAACTCTCTCATTTCATGATCACTTTCACTCAAGCTTCCTTCCTCTTTCAAATTCTCAACCAATTCCTCCCTATTTGCCAAATTAAATCTAGAACAGCCTCTTCCCTAGTAGCTTTCTGCCCCTTCTCTTTCCATTTGAAACTGGGACAGAATATAATGATCTGGGCTGAAATTAACGACTGGGGGTCCTGGCCAGTGTCCCTAATGTTGCCCGTACAACTAAAATACCATGGGATCTCTACCTATTCCAAAGGGGCAGGGTGCTAGATTTATATCTCCTCTAACAGATCCCCTCTGCACACCACCACCTAGCCCCATGCTGCTTGGTACTGACAAGGGAAGAACATGACCTGCTAAATCAGCCACTCCCTGCCACACCCTGGGCCACAAGAGAGGGAAGAGAAAAGAACAGCAGAGTTTTAAAGATGTCACTGGTGTTGACTTTCCTTTGTTTGCAACCTCCCTGCTGCAAAAACACAGGCATGGCGCATGGCTCATGGTCTCACTAGCCATTGTCAGAACTGGAACATTGCAACAGCATCAAGCTGCTTAGGGGATTGCTTTAATTTGCCTTTCTGGACACAAATGGACAATCTTGGTTTGCTACGCCAGACTTTAAGACAAAAGGAAATAGGAGAGGACTAGGAAAGAGATGAAATAAGGTGGAGAAAGGAAAGGACACATGGCGGGATGGGGACACACAGTCTCACCTCCCACGTGGTGTTTGGCATTTAGCCAGAGCAGGGGAATTGATGGTATCACCTTGGTCCCTTTTTTCTGGCCTGATCTGATCAGGACTTTTCTCGGGATTAGGACGACAAAGGCCTAGCAGCGTTCTGGAGGGTCCCAGGAGACTGTGCGGCTGGCAGCCATGGTGGTAAAACTCACTCCCTTCCCCTGCTCTCAGCAGTTGTTGAGTTTTCTTTTTCTTCATTTTCCCCAAAAAAGGGTCTTTTTAATGACCCCCAAGGGGAGCAATGGGTGGAATAGTCTATCCCCTTATTATGTGGTCACCAATTAGACCTAATTTTCAACGCACCAATTTTGGTCCATTGATTTCCAGTCCCACACTTCATTTGTTTACCAGACATGATCTCAGCACAGTCCTTGAGTTACATCAGTCGGCCTTTGTGTTTGGACTAATTCAATCTTTGTCTCACTTTTGTATCTTTTCCCATCAGCATTTGT